CTACCGCCTAGACTTAATGAAGTAAACGGTAATTTGACCGCGACTCAAATGAGCTACAGTAGCTACAATCAGTATTTCCCATATGACTATTGGACATGTTCGGGAATATGTGGGACTATGCTCGACTACCGAAGGGACCTCTATGTCCACCCTTAATGGTCCCTTGGTAACCCTGATACTTAGGGTTTAGGGTTTAGGGTTTAGGTTTTAAAATTACAGTAGGAACACCGTAAAATTGCCCCGCTCCTCTCATTGATTGCAGGGAATGATCCTGAAACGCTTTAGCTGACCTGTAGTCTAGACATCTAGTATCCCCTCAATTTTCCTATAACACTCCCCGATATAGTCCACTACATAATCCCCCTTTAATGAGTTTAGACTAAAGCTCAATTAATTAACCCTGAAACTCCGCAGCACAAGCTGAACTCTAAACTCTCGAGTCGGTGTCCTTCGTTTCTGAGTAGGGTTTAGGGTTTATGGATTCAAGGGTTAGGGCTTAGTCCACAGAAGCGGAACCTTACAGACTCCAAAATACTATCATGATTGTTTTGAGAATTGCATAAACGGACCATCTTTGGCAACCTTCGTGTGGATCTTTGGCACCTCCGGACCCCTACTGACTTGCCTGCGACAGACGGGTCATAAGCTCTGTATTTATAGTCCCCCTTAAGTAGATAGAATATTATATATAGGGATCTTATTATAATATACCCAGAGCCATATTCTATCTACTTAAGGGGGGCTATACCCCTAAACCCTAAACCCTAAATAGTAGTCTCCACTTTCTTTTCCATTATCCCATTGTAACCCGAATATTCTATCTACTTAAGGGGGACTATACCCCTAAACCCTACAAAGTAGTCTCCATGTTCTTTTCCATTATCCCATTGTAAGCCGAATATTCTATCTACTTGAGGGGGACTATATACCCCAAACCCTAACCCGCTAACCCTGGAACCTAAATAGTAGTTTCCATTTTCTTTTCCATTATCTCAATATAACCCTAAAACTCTATCTACTTAAGGGGAACTATATCCTCGGTGCCCTTCAGTAGCCTCTGCTCCCTTTAACCCCTGGAAACAGGCTAAGGGCCAATGTTGGGGCAAACACTTCAAAGTTACTTGGAGGGTCAGGGAGACTTAGTAAGTAGGTTAATATCCATATAGTAACCCTAGTTATCCCCATTATTAACCCATTTACCAAAGTCATGCTTGAATAACGTCGCACCCACAAAGTTTAAAAGCCCAAGCACCCAGTCCTAAACTTTGACCTGCAGCCCTCAACCATAAACTTTTGGGTCTAGGGTTCAGGGTTTAGGGTTTAGGGGCTTGGGGTTACCATTCCCTCATTACCTGAAACCGGAACTTTTGATACTCTGAACACAATCCTAAACCGGCCTCAGAACCCCACTAAAAACTCTAATTTTTTGGTTGTTAGTAGGATTATAATAACCAACAAATTGAAAATTATTTTGGATGCCCCTAAACTCAAACCCCCAAACCACGGCCGCGCCTGCGATCATCTCCTCTTCTCGAGCGATCTCGGCGGTCTCCATCCCTGTACAGTGAAGGGCTATGGCTACGGGGGGGTACCCTGATTTCTTTGGCGGCCTGGTGTAAACCCTAAACCCTAAACCCAAAACCCGTTTAGGTGTAGACAGCATGGATTGGATACATGACGGGAGCCTCAAAAGCTTGAAGCGTGGCGAAGTCGCAGGGGTCCCTGAATCGCGTTTAATTCGAATCTCTGAGTCCGAAGCCTGAGACACGAAAGTCACAAGCCCTCACCCTTGACATCCCAGAATTTTCGAACTCTGATGACACGAGCCTATCGAAGCTGCGTTCTCTCTTGTCCTTAGATCATCTCAAGCAGTGCGCAGTGGTGATCCAGGGATGTGTCAGGTGACGTCTCCACTTGGAGGATCAGGGCAATCATAACCCCAGCTACAACTACCGTGGTCCCTTCCGAGGTACTGTAGGGGCCTAGACAATTACCAACACAATCTTAAGGCCTTTGAGGTATCCTACACCATAATCAAAAAAGGAGTCTGTGACCCTAACATTGGTTGGCTAATTCCCCCTTACGGTAACAGTTACCGCATGGGTAATTGGAGGTATAGTAGCCCATTAATAAGAACCATTTGAGGACAGTTACCGTAAGGGGATGACCCCAAATATTGGTAATTATTTTCGCCTGTTTTAGCGAGCCAGGCGGCGATGACCTACAAAAAACACATCAACAAATGGGTGTTTCCATGATTGGGGGCCCCAATGTAGATCCGAAACATACTATGACCCCTAGTGCAGTGAGTCTCAAACAGGGGCCGTTTAGGGCTTACTTGGAGGGTCAGGAGGACTTAGTAAATGGGTTAATAATGGGGATAACTTGGGTTCCTATATGGGTTATAGGGGTTATTAACCTACTTACCAAGTCCCCCTGACCCTCCAAGTATAGTCTAAACTCCTAGTATCCCCCCCTTTATAACCATAGCCTTTATAGTAATAGCTCTGTAAACCCGCTCTAGGGAGTTTAGGCTATAGCTCATATAAGGAAACGTATACCTCAAGAGTAGACAGGATCTGAAACTAAAACCTTGAAACCCAAAGCCCTGGTGGTTAGCGAAAAAGGAATGCGATCCCTACCCTAAACCCTAAACCCTAAACCTACTGACAACAACTAAGTCCTGAAAGCTGCAACTTGCCCGCAAGCTTAGGGTTTAGGGTTTAGGTGCTGTTGGAGAGGTCTGGGTGCAGCTGTGGGTCGAAGTCACGTCCCCTGCCTGCGAAGATGTTGGCATTTTCATTCTGGGTTGGCCCCTAAAGCCCTTTGGAAAATATTAATATATAGGGTCCCTTATTAAAGCCATTAGGGAAAATATTAAATATTTCAGGGGCCTACCCAGCAGGGTGTTGGGAAAACAGGTTCGGATTGAGCTAGGTTCCCCAGTGACCCCTTAATAATAAAGGTACCCTTTTTCCTACCATTCAGCTTTAATAAGGAGACCCCCCCCAAAAAAAGGGGCAAAGGGTACTACTGGGGTACCTAGTGAGGGGTTCCTGAAACCCTAAACCCAACAATCAGCCATACTGGCGATGTGGGTATTGTTCTCCCTAAATTAAACCTGAAATGGGCGTCTAACCTAAGCCGTAGCCGGTTCAGGAAGGTTCGAGGGAGCCCTTAGAGGGATGGGGGCGGGGAATATCTTAGGATGAGCCCCCGTAATAGTGGTATAGTAGAAATATAACAGGACCCGATAATTAATCCTTCTTATCCCTTATAGGCACTATGACAGGATGGCGTGTCCTGCTAGGGAACATATTCTATAAAATGCCTGACGGAGTCTATCTAATAATCCCTTTGTCGCCCCTCAAGTATCCCTGTCCTGGACTCCACCCAAAATACGACATCTTCCGAAGTTCCTCTGTGTATGCAGACATTCTCCTAGGCCTTAACTTTAATCCTGGTTCCTGCATCATGTTAATTAAGGCCTACCTGGACACACAAGTAGGTAAAATGATGGCCCAACACCCAGAGAAAGCGCCCAAAAAGCATTTAATTCTACAACTTGAAGGCTGTGAGTCCCCTATTTCGTAGTTGGGTTGTACGTAACCGCCACAGTTGGATTGTAATTTCCCTGAACCTCCAAGTTAAGGCTTCAGGTAAACTTTCTTACAGGGCCGAATATCAAGAGTCCTCCGCGGTCGCGGCTGTCTCGGTCTTTGGGAGGAGGGCTTGGTCGGCGTGGACTATACCTGGGACTTAGGGATTTTGGCGGGTTTGGGGTGCAGACATGGCCTTTGCGTCAGGTTTGAGATGAGGGTTCAACATCTAAGGGTTTAGGGGTTAGGTGTTTAGGGGCTTAGGGTTTAGGGGTTTGTGGTTTTGGGGTTTAGGGGTTTAGAGTGTAGCAGTTTCGACATCTAAGGTGTGGAGTTCAAGCAAGCAAAAAGGGATCCTAGAAAAAACAACCCTGTATGAGACACGTCAATGCACACGGGAATGAAGGTAAGGTCCGTTGTGAAAGACCAGACAACAGGAGTTGCTGTGCAGGGTTACGGTTTGGTGTTTAGTGTCTAGGGTTTAGGGTGGGTCCACAAATACTATCCGTAATTGGAGGGTCAGGGGAACTTAGTAAGTAGGTTTATAACCAGTATAAACCATATAGTAGCTCTAGTTATCCCCATTATTAACCTACTTACTAAGTCCCCCGGACCCTCCAAGTAAACCCTAAACCCTAAAACCCTAAATAGTAGTTTCCATTTTCTTTTCCATTATCCCTAAACCCTAAACCCTCCAAGTAGCCAATCTTAAGGACGTGTAGGACCTACGATGGGGCCTCCCGGTCTTTGAGGTTGGGCTTCCAAAGAAGGATCTACCTGGCACTTAGGGTTTAGGGTTTATACTACTATTCAGGGTTATATTAGGAGTTATTTTGGGAGAATGGAAAGTAAAATGGAAAGTACTACTTAGGGTTTAGGGTTTTAGGGTTTTGGGGTTTAGAGTCCCTTTCCTACGTGGCACTTAGGACCCCTACTAAGGGTTAACCCTTAGGTACCTATAGTAGGAGTATAAGGACATCCCAAAGGGTTAAGGGTCTAAGGTCCAAGCTACGTCCGAAGGAGGAATGGGAGGCGTAGAAACTTCCGGCCTGCAAACTTAAGCCTTTCCATGCCAAGGGCTGAGCAGGCACATTCAGGGTCATTCTCTTCGCAGAGTTCCTGGACCTTTTCACCTTGAAACATTGGGTTTACCCTAAACCCTAAGCCCTACACCCTTTTAGGGTTTGGGTTTGGCATGTATGGCTTAGGGTCTGGGGTTTAGGGTTTGAGTCCCCTGAACATGCAGGATTCAACTAGTCGATATCAGCCTGATGTCCACAATTGCCCGCAACAAATGTTGCGCACCCCAATACAACCACATGCTCTCTGCAAAAGCCCATAGCTACTCCCTGACCCATCCATGCATCCAAGAGCAGATGTTAAAGCCCAAGCCCTGAAACCTTACCTCTGGACTTACTAAGGCAAGCTCTTTGGGCCCACTTCGTGACTCAAATCAGGTATACCCGTAGTGCCCCCAAAGTTTTTTTGAAGCCAAAGACCCAAGACCCCAAATGCCAAACCCTAAACGCTAGATCACTATGCTATACTCCGAGCCTTGGGATCCTCGACCCTGATTCTCTTAACCCAGGTTTGTCACAGCAAGCCCTAAATACCCCATGGAATCCCCATACTGCCCCAACATCCCTCTTGACCTCTCATTGTGCGAAATACTGACATCTTCAAACCTAAGCCCTAATCCAGAAGCTATTCGGGAAAATAGCCCGCATGAGTGGACGTGCCATGTGGGACGGACTCGGCATAGTCTTAGGAAGTGTTCTTATAGCCGCATTATAGCCTCATCAGATAAGAATCCCAACCCTAAACCCTAGACCCTGCGCAAGCTAGGTCTTGCTTTGAGAAATGCCCCATATTGAAAGTTGCGGGCCTTTAAAGGGTGTCCTTCATCCTACCCAAAGCCCTATCTGGACCCTGCGAAACCATTAGTTTTCAGGATCCATCCCACAAACACCGAGGGCATGCACCTGGAAAACGGTACGCCCTCAGCCCTAGACCGTGTAGGGTCCAGGTACACTCTCAGGTCGCAATCCTAAAGAGCATACACCTAGACCCTCAAAGTCACAAGGCCAGGTTCAAAGGAAGGACCCTGAGCCCTAATGGGGACGACAAGGGGGAATTCCAAGAATGCAGTGGGAAAATGATAGGAATATACCTACCAAAGTCCTTGTCTTCCCATTACATTCCTACTACCTTCTTGGGGCTTTCTGTTCGGGGTCCCCATTACACCGAGTCATTTTGCAGATATCCTTGCAGAACCGTGCTAAAGCCTAAACCCTGAACGCTGGACCCTAAATCCCTAGACCCTAAACCCCTAAACCCGCAAACCCCAAACCCTAAACCTCTAGACCCCTAAACCTTCCAGCCCCCTTCGCCGTGCCTCGGGGCGCGCTCACGGCTGTCGCGCCGATCGACTTAGAGGAACAGGAGCTATAGTCTAAACTCCTAGTATCCCCCTTAATAACCCCTATAATACTCCCCTATATAATCCCCTATATAACCCCCATTGAAGGAGTTTAAACTATGGCTCACATGAAGGTTTCAGGCTCGTAATGCTGGAGTTTTGGCACTCGGGGGTTTGGGGATCAGGTCTTCAGGGGTTTTAGGTTTGGGGGCTCCGTTAAGAATGTTTGACCACAAGGGATTGCGGCAATCTACCCCAAACACTGTCATATATACCACTGCCCGAAGCCCTAAACCCTCAACTGTCTTACTATTGGTGGGTGGGAGGTATCACCCAGGCATACAACTGTCTCTCTACCACCCCTTCCTAAACTCCCCCCTATATTCCCTCCAAATTAGCCTTCAGTAGCAACTTGGGGTCCAATGGCCCCTAAACCCTAAACCACATTGGGGACGGATAGTAAGGGGAACCGATGGCTTAAGGATTCTTCAAGGGGTTGCCTTCAAAAATCCACAGAATTATGGCTCAACTTCTCAACGATCTCCAAGCAAAACAGACGGACCCAAAACCATTTAGGATTTGACCCTCAACCCTAAACCCTAAACCTGAGCTTTTTTAGACCAAGGGTTGGTGTTGATGATTTAGGGGTCACAGTTCAGTTTGCCTGGGTCTGAAACCAGGAAAACTTGCGACTACCAACTCTCCCGTGCCTACGTGTGCAACGGTATGTCAGCCAAGTGGCCAGAGTCGTCGCGTGGCATTTCGTAGGTATCTATTTCCTCAGTTACATGACGGCAACCCATGCGTTCTTGCTGCTGTTCTTCTTGTTCTTGTTCTCGTTCTTGTTGTTGCTGTTCTTGGTGGTGTTGTTGGTGGTGGTGGATGTGGCGGCAGCGGTGCTGGTGGTGCTGGTGGTGTTGTTGGTGGAAATGATGGTGCTGGTGCTGTCGGTGCCATGGGCTTGTGCAGCTGGAGGTGTAGGACTGAAAGTAGGAGTTGCTGGAGGAGAAGAAACAGTCAATAGTCAATACAAGGCAACGCGTCAAAAACACCAGTGGCAACATCGATGGCCTTCTGATTTTATAGATGTCATGCGCTTAGCACAAAGTAAGGGACTACAATAAGGACCCCCCCCCCCCAAAGGTACCCCCCCCCCAGTTCGAAACCTATTAGGCCTTGTTAAGCTATATAATCCTTATTAGGTCCTTAAACCCTAGGGGGGTGGTACCTTTGGGGGGGGGGGTACTATTGTCATCCCTTACAAAGGTCAGGGTGCAGGAATGGGGCGGGCTTCAACTCTACCGGTCGTTTTGTCGGGCTCCATTCTTCCAAAATGCGCCACCCTTAAAGTCGTGTCAACGTGACAGTACTTGGAGGGTGAGGGGGACGTATTAAGTAGGTTAATAATGGGGATAACTTGGGTTACCATATATTAACCAACTTACTATGTCCCCCTGACCCTCCAAGTAGAGATCTGTTCTTAAGTGACATGCTGCTTGCTGCCGTCAAGATTCACCTCGGACTCTCTCACAGCGCGAAGGCTTATGAAGAGAGCATACTAACAAGCTTGCCGAGCAGCTGTGGGCAATAATAGCGACGTGCGTATGTGGGGATGATACAGCTGTTATTGCTAGTGGTGTTGGTGATGACAAAGAACCAGAAAGAAAGGGACAAAGAACCAGAAAGAAAGGGGTAAATGTCGACATTCATGACAGGGCCGCTGCCCACTAGCGCCTGCATGATGAGCCTTTACCAATGGAACTTGGCGCTGCCCATCTAGGGCGGGGGTCCCTAGTAACTGTCTGACGCCAAATCTTCGCGGTTAAGGTTTCAGGGTTGGTAGACCAGGAGGACGCAGGTCTTCTGGTTGTTGGTGTAGTGCTCGGGCATCACATACGTTGACACCGCGGCTATCCAGGCACGTTTCCTTCCAATACATGAATCGACCCATGCAATCCTTGCTCAAATGAGGTATGCACGCTCTCTAAAATCCTGAAATCGCTCTCTACAGGACAGTTTTGGGTTTAGGGTTTCATGTTAGGATGTGGGCCTGTCTTCTCATAAACGAGAGAGAGAGAGAGCAAGAGCGAGAGAGAGAGAGAGAGAGAGAGAGAGAGAAAGAGAGAGGGGTGAGGATTGCATTCACACACACACACACACGCGCACACACACACACACACACACGGCACGTCAGACATGAATCGCACTTTAAAGGATTCTACAGCGGAAATCTTGAGAAACTGCCAAAGGGGCACACAGACATGAAACACGGCTGATCAAAGGGCTTGCACAAAACGTCATCTCTGTGGCATGGTATCTAGCAAGACCCAGAAGACCCAGAAATTGCAAATTTAAGGGTTAGGTTAAACCCTTTCGTAAGACGTCGACAGCACAAAGTTCTACATACTTCATCATCAAGTCATCAGTTCAATTAAGGGTTCTCGCAAGTAAGCAAGGAGCCCCTCACATGCTCTTCTTTTGCTCGAGCGCGAGGTAAAGGAGCTGAATGCAATGCGGTGCCCCCATGTGTTTGGGCTTCTATAGCTGGTTCTCTTTGTCGGCGGTTGTCTCATGTAAGGGCCAGCTAATTGGAATAGTGTTTGGAATGCATTTACTGTAGGTTTTTAGATTAGAGATCATGACAGAATAGAGTTTGTAATTATTCAGGAAACTACAACTTTCTTGCTGCAACAACACTGAATCGTGCTCGAACCTAGATCCTACACCCTAGATGGTCCTGCTTGAAACCTTGCGAATCTCATACGAGCTATAGTCTAAGCTCCTAGTATCCCCCTTAATATCCCCGATAGTACTCCCTTATATAACCTCCCTTTAAAGAGTTTGGACTATAGCTCATATAGTATTCGTGGCCGTGACATCTTACTCGAGGCACCCACTACTGGGAGGCCCATGGGACTTAGTAACCACTTATAACTGCGATTATAACCATACTTATACTTGTATTAACCACTATAATAAGCCCATTCAGAGGAATTACAAGGAGGGTTATAAGCCCAGTTATAAGTGGTTACTAAGTCCCATGGGCCTCCAAGTAATCCCTAAACCACATACCGCGTGTCTGGTCGGCAGGTTTCTATGCGCGAAGGAGAGTCGATGTGAGCAACATACCTATGTAAGCCATATTCGAAACTCCTAGTATCCCCTTGATAACCCCTCATGATTCGCGTATACAATCTTTATACAAGCCACTTTAAGACGTTTAGATTATGGTTCATGTTGCACGGACGTGCTGTAAGTGGAGCTGGCGAGAGGGACTAGAATACAAGTTATGACCTGGTAAATAACTAAAGCGCTTTCTACCTGAGGTCTTAAGGGAGGGACTGAACGCTGACCCGTGCGGACCGGCTGCAGGAAAGGTGTGTGAGAGTAGGGTACTTCTCCTCATAGAAGGTCCCGCAAGCGGGATCCGAGTGTCATGTACACATGCGCGGATCACGCGTGAGACGAGTTAGGAGGATGGCTTCTTTGCGCCGCACTTAAAGCACTCATCCCTGCGGGCAAAGTTGTTGCAGTCACACTTCTCGCAGACCCAATCCTTAGAAGGGCTTGCAGGGTTTGAAGCAACTCAAGACGCTCCCTGCACGTCTGGGCAGGTAGTATTCATGACTCCGAGTCACGGGCCATGCTGGCACAGTCCAGCCACAAACCCATGCCACCATGAATTGCCAGCTCCACATTACTCCACTAAATCCGTCCACTCCAGAATTCCTGCCCATCGTGGCTTAAGCTCCACTGCGTAACATCCAAGACCTCCTGGCACCAGCCAAACCCACACCATGCCACACCATGCGATTCCACACATGCCATGCCACTCCACAAGACCTGCAAACAAGCAGGCTAGGGAATTTGTAGTAGAGACGTGGTGAGTCGATGATGCTAGTGACAAAGGACCCTACCAGCACCTGCAAGAACATGAGCAATAATCATGATTACAGTTGACACAGCAGTGGCTGAGGCCAGTGGGGTGGGGGGCGGGGACGAGACGGGCGGGGGAAGCTCTACGCTAGGCAGAGCCAATTTCAGGACGTAGGAAGCCATGGCACATGCCCACCATTTTGTCCAGGTCTATCCAGCTATCCACAAGACGAAGGCCCAATGCCCTCGCCACCAATCCCACCAGAGGCCATGATTTGTCAAGGCACTCCACCCCAGTTGCCACTCGGCCTGCCAAGTGCCAGGGGCTGTGTTAAACATCAAGAAGGATTAGATAGCGCTTCCGTTTGCATGGGGTGTTTTTTGTGGGTACTACATTGGGTTTAGTTTGAGCTGTTTGAGTTTCAGTCCTGACCAATAGTGACTGCAAGAGCTAATGATGGCTATATTCGGGCATCTCTATTCCCATTATATGGCGAGTAGTGTGGGGGAGACAACCTAAAGTGCAGATCTCTTCGAAAAATTGGCATGCTAAGTCATTCAGCATGTGGGGTTCCGCAACCTTAGAGGTTGCATAACATTTGGTACGGCCTAAGATGTAGTTAAGGATATAGAGAGACACCTGTAGGGTCTCGGATTTGTGAAAAAGAAGGATTCCTTCCGGTGATCCGTATGATTGAGAATACAGCTTGTGAGGTGTATGGGATGGGCCCACCATTTTCGGAAGCATCCACGTACTCTGGCCTTCAAACGCCATGGCTGTCACCGCCATGTAATGTACCAGTCCCTACGACTATGCTAGCCTGATGGCAAGAATCAAAGCCAATCGGAAGCAGTTTTCGTGAGTGAGGCTCTGGCAAAACCCTAAACCCTAAACCCTAAACCGCCCAATTTGCTCCTGCAAAGCCCGTACCGTGACAAAACCCTACAGACCCCTGCGCAAGAGAGGTTCCTCTTTGGCTTTTTTTTATCGGACCTTTTTCAGAGGCTTAGGGCATTGGGTTTGGCCGTTCTTCAAACTAATCCATCTAGAATGCTACAGAGCACCCCTATCCTCCATGGCTATCTGTACAAATTTTTGAACATTGTTGAAGGGTCGGATCATGCAGGTTTTCTGGGCACTTTGGTGGCATGGCCTAGTATATTCCTGTCCAACAGTGGCTTGGCACCGGCCTACTTATCCTGGACAAGTCAAACTCCTGGGACCCCTTTTGAACCGGGTGAATGAAACACCTGCTTAGCATCAAGCACCTGATACATAGGAGTTTTCTGGACTACACAGGTCATGCAGGATTGTTGGAATCACCGCCGCACTTATTGAGAATCCCAAGCACGAAAGCCTCAACCCCTATCTTGCCACCCTACCTAAACCCCAAACCCAAAACCCTATACCCTAAATCCTAAACCTATCTCGTTAAGGGGGACTATAAACCCTAACCCGCCGAGGGGCTTTCCGCCAGGACCAAAAGCTCGTCGCGGGCTGCGGTCGCGATCATAGCGGGAACCACCTGGTTTAGAGTTTAGAGTTTAGGGTTCAGGGTTTAGAGTATGAAAGCTGGAAACACTGTTCTTTACGGCTTCTGGTTGAGTGCTTGGACTACTCTTTAGGGTTTCTGGCTATGTGCTCAGAACTACTCTTTAGGGTTTCTGGCTGAGTGCTTAGGACTACTCTTTAGGGTTTCTGGCTGAGTGCTTAGGACTACTCTTTAGGGTTTCTTGCTGAGTGCTGAGGGATTTCTGGTTGCATGTTTAATGTTTATGATTTCGGGCGGCAGTCTTCCGGTTGAAGGACTTGGGGTTGAAAATCCGAAGTAAACTAGTCCCCCTTAAGTAGATAGAATATGGGGTATATGGGGATCTTATTATAATATACCCAAAGCCGGATTCTATCTGCTTCATGGGGGGCTATAGACTTTAGGGCACAAGATTTTGGGCTCCTGGGTTGAAGAACTCGGGGCTTTGAATTTAGAAGCTAGGGTTTAGACAGCAAGGACAAACGACCTCATGCGCCCGCTTTAGGGCTTTGGATCTTAGGTTTCCCAGTAACCCCTTAATGACAAGGGTACCCCTCTTCCCGACGATGCAGCTTTAATAAGGAGACCCCAAAATGAAAGGGGCAAACGGTACTACTGGGGTACCTAGGACGTGATAGTCCAACTATGATAATGGAACTTCAAGGTTCAGTGTTGGCACTGCAGAGGGAGCGCTATAGGCATGGTTGCGAGCTTCCCAAGAATCCAGGAACTACAAAACACACCAGTGCTAGTAGGGCTTGTAGGGATTACTCATCGGGTTTGATACGGAATCTAGAACTTTCTCAACACACTAACCCTAAACCCTGAACCCCAAACACTGAACCCAAGATCATCTAAGGGGAACAAGTATAGGTCTTCTATCCCTATTTTTGGGGGTGCCTGGAACCTTGAGGTAGTCCCTTGAAGTGCCGCACTTAAGGTTTAGGGTTTAGGGCATATGAACGCTAAACCATGAACAATAAGCCGCTGAGGGGGAGGCAGTTATTGGAATCCCCAGTAACCTCCGAATAAGTTGGGTGACTTTAGCTTTTACACATGTTTTTGGAGAAGCCCCAAGAGCAGCAGAAGGAGATCAGTTGGGAATCCGAGAGGTGTAGCCATGTTGAAGCAGGGTGAGGCACTAACTGGTCCCTCCCAAACAGGAACCTCTGTCATGTTGGCGCGTAAAGAAACAGATCTTGTCTTTGGGTCTATACTTGCTGCTATCATGGTAGAGACTCTATACCATACTTACAGTTTTATCACGGTTCTCAGAGTACGATGCGGTGTCAATGTGAGAATCCAGACTGGCAAAAAAGGCAACTGGCATAGGAACCTAACAGTCCCCCACATAAGGTTGGAATAGGGCCCAATTGCGGGCTATGTAGGGCTTAGTGGATTTTGCCCTCAGCATTTGGAAATCCTAGATCCTATATGGGATCTTCCACAATCAGGGATTCCTTTTTAGTGAGCCCATAATGGGCGATACATTCTGGAGTGTATATTGAGGTCCAGAAACGAACATGGAAAGAAATCTTTAGGGCTCTGTGGGGATGAACAACTAGGGGTCCTACAAGGATTATGAGAAGGGATAGAGAAGGATTATAACAACTCCCAACGACTAACGTGCCACCCGAAAAAAGCTACAAAGGCTATGTAGTTGGAAAGATCTCATGTGGATTTCCATGCTAGTCTGCTAGGGCGTTCCCACAGCTAGGGCTAGCATACTTCGCATTTGCTGGCATGGATCCCTGAACCCTAAACTTAAACCCTGTATTGTGTAGCACTCAACGCGCTGTGCCCCGCACCCTACACTAAGTCACGCTGTCAGCGGGTAAATGCCAAACCTGAAGCCGCAAATTAAGTTTCTCAGCACCACAACAACCCGAAATCTAATCCCCGAACCAGAACACTGAACCCTGAAAAACTCGCGCCTAAACCCTCTTGACTTCAAACCTCAAAAAAACATAACCTTGAAACTAAACCCTCAACTCCAAACATCAAACCCTGAACCTCTAAAACTTGAAGCGCCAAACTTCAAGAACACTGAAAGCCCTTCACCTTAGGACCCCAAATCCTAAACTACAACCCCACACGTTCATCACCAAAAGCCAACGCCCTTAAAGCCTCTAAACTTTACTTTTAAACCCGAATGCAACACATCGAATCCTCAATGGCTTTGCCAAAGCGCGGTCGCGATCATCCCGTCGGCCACGTCCGCGGTCTCGGCTGTCACGGCCACGGGACCTTCACAGATTTAGAGCAAAAACCTGATTTGGGTCTCTAGTTCTTTGTGTGTAGGAGACGGTTCAGAATTTGAAATTTGGTGTTTGGGTCTGGAAAGTCTCGGGGGGCAGGGGTATGGACACCCCCGCTGGCCCACCGTTGTAGTGCTCCATGGAGGGGATTTGTGGGGTGAGATGCGGGGTGTGTCAGGTGATTGAGGTTTAGGGTGCGGACATGAATCCGTATCCCTGAGTGTCCGAGTGCCTAAATAGTAGATAGTTTTGGGCACAAAGCCCCTAAACCCTAAACCAAAAAAATACAACTCCTAAAACAACTAAACCCTAAACCCTAGGAACCCGTTTGACTGCACATTGTCTAGTGTTTCAGTAATTGGACACATAGCAATGCCACGAAGTATTTAGGGTTTAGGGATTAGGGTTTAGGGTTTAGAGGTTTCGGGTATGGGGATTAGAGGCTTCATGGATTCTGGTTCTAGGACCCATGAGACTGGCAACCAGGTGGCTCTATGTTGCTATATGCGAGTTTCCAGAATATTACATAGCCCACATCGCCCTAGGGAGAAAAAAAGGTCCTCCTTACATAGGTTTAAGGAATCCCATACCCCAAAAAGTATACAGGATCCCTAACATTGATCCAGATTAGGGGTCCTGTTTTGGGGACATCTACTACAAGGATTGCTCTCCACTCCCCTAATATTCAAGCCCCCTCTCTCCCAATGTCAGACTTTTCCGACATAATACGGTGTGCTGCAATGGGAGTTTTTCTTATTAGGGAAGTGGGGGGGGTTGTAGTACGGGGGAGATATGATGAGTATCTTGGGGTCTGTACTGGGCTTTGGTTTTCACGTGACAGGGGGAACACCTGTTTATGGAAGGTCTCCGGCTTAGCTGCTAGAAATGATAGGCGTGGGATTCTACAAAGTTCCTTTCAGCTAAAGATCGAATTGTAGCGTGTGAGACCCAACGTGGATTTCAAGAACCTTTGCCCAACGCTGATGTCGGTGAAGTCCTGCACCAAAACTCCCAGCATGTTCAGCCTCGTGCGCCGAAAACCTGCTCCCCTTGTGCTCAGCATCGCAGAAGGTACGTACAGGCATCTAACTTCCTTATTATAAGAACCCCCACCAGAGAACGTAAATCTTTTTGCTTACATGCTTCCTACCCCGACTAACTTTGATAGAAGGATTCTGGTAACCCCAGCCCTCAAAATTAGGACGTACCACTATCCTGTCACCCTAACCCTAAACCCTACTATCCTGTTACTATTTGGGGATTTGGTGGTTTTTTGGGGTCTAATTTTTTCACCCAAAGCCATATTCTATCTACTTAAGGAGATGACACCCTTCAGCTAAGGTTCCTTTAAAGGAAGCCCACAACTATGTCTCTAAAATATCCCTCAGGCCTACCCCAGAGGGTTTCCAACATGGGCCCTTGTGCATGGAGTCCCCTAGGGCATGCTTAGGTCTGTAATGCAGCCGTAAACCCTGACAACACCCTGGATCTTGAACTTGGCAATTCACAGGTAGTCCAAGAAGCTATAGCCATCTTTTAAAGCTGCTAATTACGGGCCCCAATCTCGAAAACCCGGTTTGGCTCAAGGGCGTAGCTAACCTCGCAGTCCCCAATACTGGGTGGCCGTTAAGTTCAAAGTCAAGTTAAGTTACCATAATGTGGGTAATTCTATAGTAAATGATCAGTTTTCTTTGTTACCGTATCTTAATTTCAGTTCCTCAACAGCAGTCCCCATAATTACTCCAGTGCTCCCTACCACTCCCCAGGGCTCCCTGAAGTTTGCCAGTACCTCCTTGTAGGGGCTTAGGGTTTTTTGGGAGTTGAGGGTTTTTGGAGTTTAGGGTTCATCCCCCCTTTGGGAACTGGTAGCTGGTAAAACGAGGGTGCCCTGATTTTCGGAACCCCCCAGGTCCTAAATTCCACTTTTACCGAAGCCGCGCTCTCGGTTTGCTCCTCGGTCCTCCAGTGGTACACGGTAAGGGCCTAAATCTTTCTTGAATCGGTTCCAGGATATTTTCTAACACATTTTCAAAAATGGTTGGGGCAAACTATAGCGCAACTAGACAATGATTTTACGAGCGTATGGAACTACGTACAACTCAGGCTTCTCCAGAGTGCAGCATCATGTTAATTATGGCTCGGTATGAGTGCCCTGCTGTAGACCATAGCATGACTTGTGGCACCTTCTGAAGTAACACCCAAACCGTTTTGGCTTTTAGCACACGCCATAGTTCACCCCCCCCTGCCCCCCCAGAAAGGAACTTTGCATCCCACACGTTCACATCTGAGACCTGAGGCCCTACACTCCGAACCCTTAGCGCTGAAATCAATGCCACGCCTTCCGCCGTACTTTCGGTCGCGGCCACGGTCATAATCCCTGGTGGCGTTTTGGGATCCGGGGATGGTCGGAACTAGTGCCTAGGGTCATTAACATTTTTTGCTTAAGACTTCACACGATGGCATAGCAGGGCGTCTAGGAATAATGCTTTAGACATGCAAAGCAGGACATTCAATATCAACATAGGGTTTCCCGGGCTCTTACTAGAGGCTATACTGAGGTTATTGGCTTTTAAATTTCAAGTTCAAAAGCAATTACATTGGCATTCTATAAGGGTATGTGGGTTTAGGGTAATTATAGCTCACGTACAACTGTACCCATGACATCAGCAAACAAAAATCCGCTGATAATCTGATAAGACTGCGGTTATAAGTACCTGTTATATATATACTTACCCTGGGGCTTTAAATACCTGATATATCTGAGCTTGTATATATATATATATCTCTACTCACCATGAACCTAGGACTACTCTGGGTCATCAGCCTTGGGGTTACCAAACGCATTACATACCCATTCACTGCCGTTCTTATCTCTCAAAAAAGGCTGCAGCTCCAGATTTGGGGCCTGCATTTTTCAGCGAAGCGTAGATGATCCTCAGCTCCTCAAGCCCCAAAACCTGGACTTGGATGACTCTAACCCATTGAACACCTAAACCTTACAAGCGTGATTTCCCTAGGCCTAAACAACATGATTTATTCATTCCTTGGGGGTATACATTCCCCCTTAAGTAGATA